TGATTCATCTTCCAGTTCTGCTGCACTTGGTGCTGATTCCACGTTTCGAGGTTTGTAACACTTATTGTACATCTTGCGGGTGAGTTTAACTGCCTCATCGATCCATTCCTTAGGCCATTCGGCCAGCTTAAAGTATTCGTCCTTGAAAGAGGGATGGAGAACTGGAAATTCAGAGATAATATTTGTTAGTTGCCAGGAATGTCATATGTAATCACATGAGAGTTGAAGAAAAGACCTACCCATTGCAATTCTGTATAATGGTGAGCAGTCAGTCAGTGAGTAATACTTATTGGTTATGCGAAGGCCGGCACGACACGCATTTCGTAGAGCTGGAGGGTGATCTCGTTCAGAATCCTGCTTGGCAATCACGGCCGCAAGGTTGGATGTGATTTGATCAATCATGAGAACGACCTCGGCAATCCGGGCCGAGGCTTTGGTTGACAATTGGAGGGTGATTTCGTAAAACGGTCGGAGAAGTCGAACCAAGTCCGCGGCTAAGTCAAAGTCCTCTTGTTGAACATGATAGTTACGGGGCATTCCAAACTGCTTATCGCGCTGCCACAAGACACTTTCATGAATAGAAGGTTAGTTTGGGTAATTATTGGGGGATCATGATCTGATAATGATTAGACTTACATGGCTTCCTCACATCGGACAATACTCGACAGTTGCATGTAAGTCGAGTTCCACCGAGTCGGGACGTCACGCTCAATGGTGTGGGGTTTCTTGCATTGAGCTTCTTCACAAATCTCGATGAATTTTGCCTTGGAGTTCGGGGACTTGCGAAGTTTCATGGCAATTTGACGGAACTGCCAACAGTGGATAGAATCATTCCAGTGAGAGGTGATTAGAGAATTTGATAAAAGATGAACAGACTAACCTTTGTGAGGGTTTGGCGACACGAGTCAGAGGTATAACTATCTTTCGAGTCTTCTCGTTCAAGATCCTCAAGATTGTCTAGAGTGAGATCATCGTCGAATGCTAGTCTGGATCCTCTTTGTGGTTATCTTCATCATCGTCCAAGTCACAGATCTGTTCCTCTTGATTGAATCTAAAAATTTCCAAGTGTTATTTAGCTTCTAGTGTCAAAATTAAATGCTTGATTGAAACAGCTTACCTCACAATGTGTTGATGCTTGTCCTCTTCTTCATCTGAGTCATCAAACTCAGGCGTGCCAGCTTGGGATTTCTTACGAGTGAACGGTTGAAGTATAGCCTTGACGATAAGATTGACAATATGCGCAAAGCATCGGATCCACTGCGCCTCGCCCTTGAATCGTTTCCAATCTAGTCGTTCCAACTCCGAAATCATAGTCTCATTGTTGCTTGCATTGTCGGAAACAATACCACAGATCTATTCAGAGTTGAAACAGGGTCAGATCACAGACAATCAAGGGTGAACAAAATTGGTACACAAGGGGGGTGGAGACAAAGAAAATCTTCCGTACCCTATTTTCTAATCCAAATTTCTCAACCACACATCTTACCATTTCAGCCAGGTATTCGCCTGTGTGCCTTTCCTTGAGCTGCACAAAGTCCAGGGGCATTGCATCCAAATTCGTATTTCCGGCGCCATCGTCCAGAAGTCGATATGCCACCGTGCCCATAATATCGTATCCATTTGGAGATTGCCACGCATCAACACCCAAGTATATCGCCCCCTCATGCATCTGAATAGCACAAAACATCATTAATGGTTGAAACTTGAAGGACGGAAAGAAAATATTAGCCAGCCAAAACTCAATCACTCACCTTTAACTCCTCACATAGCTTCTCCTGAACACATAAGTAAAGCATATGAATACCTTTTGAAATCATCTTTCGAGTCGGAAGGTTCTTCAAGATCGTTGGATGAAGAAGTCTCTTCAGGCTGATTTCTTCCAAGGCCGAAAATGGCTTTGCTGCCTGGGCACACCAGATGACACATTGTTGCAAAACCTGAGGAAACGGGCCAACGGCAAACACGTCAGTTGAGAATTAATAGATATTCAAAAAGTCAAAGCTCTAACCTCTCGAGGATCAATATCGCCAGTTCCTGATATACCAAGCGATGCAAGTGTCTTTTGATCTGTGGGATTGTTTGCCTTCTTTGCGCATCGAGCCGCGTGTGCCAGAAGATTACCACATGAAGCCTCATGTGCAGGTCGATTGATATATTTGGGACACCTGGTCACAGTGTTCAAGTGTGAGTTGATAAATCAATGCTTATAATCTTTATTTGATTCTGTTGTCCAAATAGCAACAACTTCCATGACTCACAATTTACATTTCCATGCTATTATATACCGATCAAACTTGTCCTTCTGCTCAGACAAGGTTGGTACCTCATAAGAGGCATACGCAGAGCTTACTTGATTATGGGCCAGTTTTATTGCATGTGCTACATAAGGAATTTAATTAACTAAAATAAATAAAAGATACAAGAGTAAAAAAGAGGCCAAGCAGTTTACCCAAACGCTGCTCATCCGTTGAATCAGGCCCCACCGGGTTTGCTCCTGATGACACAGAATCTCCATCATTCGAGTCCAAGGGAGGACGATCACTGGTGTCTGACTTGTCATCATCTTCCACACGTCTTCGAAGCCTCTTAGATTGACATTCCATCACTATGTTGCAGGGGATTCAGCTGGAGTTTGTTACTTTGTTGAGTGGCAACCTATTGATTTATCAGCAAAAGAGAGAGCAGAAGAAAATTCATCAGTAAGACAGGAAAAGATACATGACATCTCTGTGAAAGATGTGAAAATATGGCTTACTTGAGGGAAAATTTTTGACACAAAGAGCCTGACAGATACTGATAGAGAAAGTGTCCAAGAAATAGGGGGGGGGGGGGGATGGGCAAGCCACCGAAGAGAAACCATCAGTAAACATCAAACTGATGAAGTGAATAAGTGAGAATTTCATTGACTCACTTGACAGAACTCTTCAGGGAGAGCTATCCACTTGAAGAAGTTGGAGGTGAGAGGTTAAAAAAGGCTGTCAAAGAAACAGGGGGAAAAATGGGCAAGAAACAGAGGAGACATCATCAGTAAACATCAAAGCTGATGATGAAAATAAGTGAGAATTTCATTGACTCACTTGACAGAACTCTGCAGGGTGAGTTATCCACTTGGAGAAGTTGGAGTTGAGAGGTTAAAAAAGGCTGTCAAAGAAACAGGGGGAAAAATGGGCAAGAAACAGAGGAGACATCATCAGTAAACATCAAAGATGATGATGAAAATAAGAGGACATGGACACACTTGGATCCTTGGGAGGAATCGGCTGGGAGAGCTTGGTGGGGGAGGCCAACAAGCTAGATCGGTTGTTGGAGGCGGCTGCGACAACCGCGAAAGGACAACAGGGGGCAATTGGAGCCGGCGAGTCGCTCGACAACGACAAGAGCACAATCGCTTCCAGGAAGCGATCACACGGGGGAGGCCTCACGTAGAGACGAGCTCCGAATCGTCGATTGACAAGCTCCGAATCGTCTAGGAATGTTATTGGTCCGGCAGCGCGCCTGCGAAGGAGGGAACTGGTGCCGATGAGCCAGGGTGTTTTTTTTTGTCGTAGGTTTTAGAGATGAAGAGAGGGGGGAAACTTACTTGGGGTGAGGTCCGCAACAAAGACAAGCCTGTGGATTAGCCTGCATGTAGTGATCGCGCAGAGTCGGAGTCGGGAGGCGAGGTGATGGGTGGGAGGTGGGATGTCAGAGGTGCAATGCTGGACTTGGCCATCGGCCGGCACCACAGCATAGGCCAAAGCACCAAAGCTAACTTCATAGCGGGTATCTGTCTGAATACCCGGGTATCCGCTGGAAAATCAGCAGAGATTCCACATCCGCATCCGAACCCGTATCCGCAGGCGGGTATCCGTTGACTCTGGCGGATATCCGCCAGCGGATAGCGGATATCCGCAACGGATATCCAGAGACCATCTCTACCTCTATCAACGACTAACTTTCTCCTTCCTTGTCATCTCAGTCCTGCTCTAGTCCTTGTCTACCTTTCTCTTCAGTTGTTTTTCCATTTAATAACTCTCTGTTGTGTTAATGATTCTTTCCTATTCTTCTGTCATCTCAATGTTCTTTCAAATGACTTCAACTTCTAAAAACTTCTTGTTTTGTTTTTAGTCTGTTTTTTTTTGTTCTCAGCAAGAAAGTTTTCACAGTTTTGGCAAAAACAGAGACAGTGGCTTTCAAGAAGATCATTAAAGAAGATTATTAATGGTTTGCTTGAAGAAATTGGATGAGAAAAGGCGGAGTAATTCAGAGTTGAAGTTTGAGACCTACTAGAGTTCCAGCAATGATTTAAAAAATACAAGAGCCTAGAGGTCAGTCAGAAAAATCACAGAAAATAGGCCGGTTCAAGTCTGAATTTAAAGGCAGCTTTTGGCACTTTTATGAATAAAAGTTTATGAATTTTGTCAAATCTCATGAATCATCAGGTTTGGAGGAATTTGAGATTTTGGACAAACTTGGAAAATTTTAATGATAAATGCCATAAAACTTGCTCCAAAGTCCAGACGTGACCTGTCCTAATGGCAGTAAATAGAATCAAGAAAGAATATCTTTGATGGTTTGCTTGAAAAATTTGGTTGAGGGATGGATGAGTTATTCAGAGTTGAAGCTTGAGTCCTAGCGTTCCAGCAATAATTTAAAAAAAACAAGAGGTTTATCAGCAAAAACAGAGATGGTGGTGGTGAAGAGGATCAAGAAAGAATATTTTTTTATGGTTTTCTTGAAGAATTTAGTTGAGAAACACCTGAGTTATCCTGTGTTGAAGTTTGAGCCCTAGCAATGATTTTTTTTTAAAAAAACAGGAGATAGATCAGCAAAATTGAAGACTGTGGCACTGAAGAGGATAAAAAAATAATAATTTTGGTGTTTTGTTTGTGAATTTTTGTTGAGAAATGGCCAAGTTGTGGTTTTTTGAAGTTTAGAGTGTACCTGTTAAGCTGGGAGTGAAGCGGAAGTGATTCCAAAAAAACCCAAGTCTGTGGTGTCAAAGAGGAGAAAAAATAATAATGCTGGTATTTTTTTTTTTGTCAATTTTGGCTGAGAATTGACTGAGTTGTGGTGTGTTGAAGTTTTAGAGGGTTTCTGTAAAATCAAAGGATCACTCAATTAAACACGTTTTTTACATTAATTTCTTACAGTTTATTTGTTGTTTCTTGTCTTGATGCCTTGATACTG